TTTAACTTTACTATTACTGAGTCTTTTGAAGCTCTTATTCTACTGATCTCTGTGTTGCCAGTAAGAGGCTTGATTGCTGTGATTGGGAGTGACTAATGGACGACTTCCTAATTAGTAAAATTGATTGGTTATTTTGTGCAAGTAATTTGGTAGCGTTTATATTCATAATCTCGATTGCATTTGGTATTCCTGTCATCTCAGTGATTAATAACGGATATTGCTCTACCGACCCGGCTTTAAAGTATCGCAACTGAGACATACATTAGTTTATGGGCATCTATTGGATAAGTAAATGATAAATCCAGGAGTTTGGATGATCAACGTACACCAATTCTTCCTTGTCTTAAAAAGTCATTTTAACTAAATTGCATACTGTGATGGGTGCTGTTTGACGAGGTTTTGTTTTAGGTGAAAATATTTTCTCTATATTCACTACTATATTACTAGCACTACACATTATACCCGTTCTCATTTACTGGAATGCTTTAGTGGTGGTTGAATGTACCAGAACGTGAGCACCTCACTTAACAAAGGGGGAGTCACTTGCTTCATAATTTACACAGGTGGTGGCAAGTCTCTTGGTGTCGAACAACGGTCTTACCGAATGTCCCCTATTTCGTCTAGTCTCATTTGCTTGACACAAGTACGGAGAAGTTATGTTTTGATTTCCAGAACTTAGAAATGTGAACAGTAAACATTACTGTTTTTATTTATGCTTAACATCGTCTCTGAGTCTGGTAAATATAAGACCTACTGTGTCCGTTTGATCTTTGAAGTATTTAAACTGACTGTTATAAATTATCCACGTATATTTGTAGTGTTTTAACTAGTTAAATGCAGTAATCTTAAAATTTCCGGAAAGTCGTTTACACCGTTGTGGTTTTTCAAGTTATTTCCGGATATTTTACAGGTTCTAAAATTAGCTAATATCCTATTTTGTTGTTCTAGTAAATATTCTGGCGCACCTGTGGTTTAGATTTCATTATTGCAGTGGTGGTGACTTTTCTGTTCAAAAATGTTCGTTTTTGTTGTATGCTTGGCAATTTTTGTGGGTTTTTCCTATGCCATTGTTTCTGTAACAGAAGTGCTGAAACAAACTCAGCGATACATTTTAGCCAGCTGTGTTGGTTATTTCAAGCATATGATTTAATAAATCCAGCAGGTTATATTATCGAATATAAAACATCTAGAGGTGTTTGTATACCGTCTCTCAAACACTGACTTTTACTGTCATAAGTACATGCAGTGAGATCCAGGAAGTGATTATTGACATACCTAAAATTAGTACGGATAGCTTCTGATGTCCAGAGAATCCCAGTTGTTATTTTCCTTTCCCTACATTCATCTTTTAATTAGGTCGATATTCGGTGAACTGGATAAGTATTATCGTTTAGGTCGTTTTCTACTATCAAAGCTATTGGGCTGACTAATCTTTGTGTATGTTGTTACAAATGAGAACTATTTTCACTTTAGTTCTTATTAGGTTAGGTTAATCATTTGTATATGAATACATGTTGTATGAAAGGTCTGAGTATCCTACTCAGTGGTTGAAATTGTTATTGCAAACTAGTATATATCAATTCTTTAGTGTGTAGCTTTAGCTTCCCTAGCTAAGTAAATAATAAAGATGGAATTTCCACTTAGATGTCGCAACAACTTGGTGGTTGATGTAAAACACTGGTGACGTATGCCCAGTACGTGAATAACAGTATTAGCACTTTGCATCACTTTTGTAACACATGAACAACTGTATGCAGAATAACGCAAGTTTTTACTAATTGATATACAACTTCTATCAACATAGATCTACTCAGATGTGCAAATATTCACACGTTCTCATTAGACGCCAGTGTAGTTATGAATAATGACGGTGAAACTCTTGGTGGTATTTATAAATCTAATCATCACTACTAAGTAATCTACATTCACTGTACGCATGCATCATACGCTCAAATTTTAAATTTAGTTACTCAATCTTTTCAAACTTTTGCTTTCTGTTTCTTGGCCTCAGGTAATTTTCAGCGGGTAAATATTTATACTATATTATTTAATCGCATGTTGATTGGCAGTCATTATTATTGTTCTGATTTCGGTGTTATACGTATATAAAAATGTTTGATGTTGTTTGCTAGTGTTATGTGTTTACCTTCAGAGAATTTCGCGGTCATGTATTTTTAAAGTAGAGTATACGTAGTTTTTTTTGCGTTTTAATATAGCGTTCTGTGTCAGCTTCCGTTAGTTTTTCCCTCCTAAAGTATGTATGCCACACTTAAACTTTTCACTGATTCAAAGAATAACAGTTTTGACTCCAGATATAGCTGTCATGCAATATCAAAGAAGTGTTCAGGATATTTATACACCTTCCTATAAATCTCTCTCTCTCTCTCTCTCTCTCTCTATATATATATATATATATATATATATATATGCAGAACGGTAGAAAACCGGTTGGGCTTTGAGATTCACAAAACATATGTGATAAAGATAGGTTTGGAGAATATAAGTAACAATAAATTCGTTTGTGATACTTCAGTTCTTCTTCAGTGCCATATATTGGTGACAAAGTTATTAGTGCCTGGTAGTTTCATAACTAGTTAATATATGTGTATCAAAGTGCAACCTATTCTCTACCGCTCAGTATGTGCATATTTGCGTATGCATGCTGCCTAAATCACCATTTACACTTGTCCAACACTGCAAGTGATGGTGTCTGTTATCTTATCTAAATGATGTTTTGTGCACTTTCTTGTTTGCACCTTAAAATTGCTTTTTTTACTAGCTGTTCAGGTTCATGAGTTATTTTAATATTTTTTATTGTTTTATAATTGTGTGTTTTCATCTAACTGCTAACACTAGTTTGTTATCTCTGTTACCATCAGTATCCTATATTATTCAGTCATTACTGTTCACTTTTAAATTTTATCTTTCGTTGAGTGAAATTGGCTTTAACACATTTTTAATTTACTGTATACCTCCGCGTATCTGTAAATTTGTCCTTCCCCCTCATTCTACCATGTATTCTGTATGCTCATTAATTTTTATGAAGTATTCCAATCATGAATTAACTGACATTCGTATTTATATAAATACAAGTTAGTTGTATATTTTCTTCATGCTGCCTTTGGGTTAGTATTTATCATTAACCTTCTGGCAGCTAAATGTACAGTCCTGGAGGATAGTTAAGTTTTTATTTTTCCTTAGTTTCTCTACAAAACGACTAAACCTTAGGAGACCCTTTACCATTTCGTTCTCTGTTGTAATTTGAGGCTATATAATTGTACATATCACCTCTATAATTCAGTCCAGTTCATGTTTCTTCACTCTTATTTAGTGATATTTATTACACAATGTGTGTTTTGACGGGATGCACTTACAGAATTCAATAACAATCTCTCAGTGTCATACTGAGTCCAATTTCACCAGTGAATGATTTTCTTTGCATTCTTTCAAGTCTCTTTGATTGGTAAAAATTACTGATCATAAAATCCTATTATTTCAATGAGTATAAATGCTTATTAGTTTCATAGTTGGGGTGGTGTTTCAAAGTAGTTCTTTGTATCTTTATAATGATTTATCTACTTCACGAGAAAGTGGATAGCTACTATCATAAGTGTAGAATCTCTGTCTCGTCGTATGCTTTATTTGGTTTTTGCTATAATTATGGGTTGATAAAAATCCTTTACGTTAAATAATTCAGCATGTTTTTTGGCGATTGATTTCAAACAGACAAAAAATATTAACAATTTTCGAATCTCAGAGTAGTGTTCCATCACTTTAAACACAGCTTTCAACTAGTAGAGTAGGTTGCAGTTCCACACCCTAATTCGTTCACCCAAGTCTAGTTAGAAAATTGTTACTATCGGTCTCCATGTAATCGACTTCTATTACAACCAAGTAAGTAAATCTAAGTGGCGTTAGTGTTTACTCTAGACACTTAGTTGACGTTGTTGAACACAAAAGGAAAAACTATAGGTAAATTCGCTGTTCTGCTTCACAGATATGTAGTAAACATTTAATTCCACTGTTCTTCAGTTTTATTAACTCTAAGATTTCATTAGGAGATCCAACAGATGTTATTGAAGGTTGATTTTTAATTTAGTGAGTGGTAGTTTGACAAACACCAACGACTTCGACTTATTATTCTTTAATACATCATTTCTGGGACTGGGAAGTTGATTGCCTGCTGAGTACAAACTGTTTTAAGCTCCAGTATGTCACAGGCTTATTTCTAGCTTAATTTGATTCGAAAAGTATTCCTTCGAACTTATTGGTGATGGTAAAATAACGTTTAATTCTTGTAAATGAACGTGTAAAATGAAATATTCTAGTCCCTAAAACAAAGCTTTGATTTCAGACCGACGTTACTACGAAGTTAGAGTTAAATGACAAGATAAATATAGAAATGTTAATTAACTGATATACACATTTATAACAGTTTTCATGTGTCCTGTATCAGTTATTTTGTTCTTGACACTCTCTAGGAGAGAGAGACTGAAATTGAAACGATTGTAGTACAGTGGAGAGGACATATACCATTTTTCAAAGCAATTCATTACCTTGAACGTAAACTGTGAAAGCTTTTCAAGCAGTAGGTAAACCGTCGAGCATGTATCTATTTTAAGAGTACCTTGAGTCGTTGAAAGTGAATGAGTGAGTTTCAGTCCATCATAGTTTATTCCTTTTAAGCTATGTTCAACCATTTATTGGAATTTGCGACTTTTTAAGCTTAGACCGTATTTGATCTCGATTTTCGTCTCCTCGAAGAATTGAACAAGCAATGTATAGTTATAACCTAGGACAAATTGTTACACGATGTAGTAGCGTTTTTATTCTGAATAAAAGCAACACAAATGTTTTCTGTTAATAATTTGATAACTGAGAGATTGTATTAACTTGTTTTACCATTAGGCATAATATAATGTTAGGCTACCTGGTGTGTTATGTTATACTAAATGAAAATATAATAAGTATTTGATTTCCAAATGTGTTTTCGGTTTCAGAGAAACACTCTTCGTCAGTCTCACAGGTACGTTCAATCAATATTTTTTTAGTACTGTTTTAATCTCGAATATATTGCTTATTTCAGTTTAGACACTTAGACAGTATATCCTTGGTTTTTTATTTTCACTTAATGTTATTCGCTAAGCAAAAGTGAGGGTAATAGACGCCTGTGGACTGTGTTAATAATTGTGGAAAGTTTTCATTTACATCAAGGCATATTTAGTGTTATATCCTCTGATTAAAACACTAAAGGGTTTTACACCTTGAACTTTCTGGTCTCTCTGATTTTATTTCCGACTATCCTTATTTCGCGAATAATTTGTGAAAAAAATTCATATCTTAATGGAGTAATAATTTATCGTCTTATATGTTTCTAACTGTTTTAAAATTACGGAAAGTTTCCTGAATATTATTCTGCATTCTTATCTTGGACTATTTCGTAGGTATTCAAACCATCTTCAATCTCGATGGTCTGAGTACTATTGCAGCACTGAGTATTCATGGTTCTTGGTGTACAGAGAAACAAAACAAAATTAGTTTTTATTCATCGGGAAATACAAATTCCTATTCTCAATGAGTGTTCACGACATCTTTTTCCCCTCTCAACTGTTTATAGTACCTTGTAGTTGAAAATAAGTCAGATTACTGTACTGAGATCTCTATGTTAGGTTTTTCAAGTTAGATAACAAAAGGTCGTGAATTTTAAGTGTTTGCTTGCTGATGTTGTTCAGAAGGACCTATTTACAATATTGAGAAGGCTTTCTCCCTTAGGGAAACTATAACTACATCGTTTAGGACGGTAGTCAGAAAGCTGCTTATTATTTTTCCACCAGGGGTGAACGAACTTTGTATTTTTGGGGGGGGGGACAAAGTATGCGTCAGAGAAGACGTTTAGTCTCTTTTTCTTTCTTTTTACTTCGGCTATCTCCTACGGGAGGATGAGCCGGCTTCATGAACAAGACGTTTAGTCTGTGCATGGTTATGGAAAGTTGGTATCCAACATCAAAACCAAACGAAGATTCAACATAACGAGGAAAGATAACTTAATTTTCCATTGTATTGGGATACATTGGTTGGTGATCTCAGAAGATACGAGAAACTGATGGGTTTTCGAAGAATGTGTGCACTGTGTTGAGAGAAGAAACTTATCCAACAGTTGGAAATATGTGTAGACATCATAGGTGTTGGCACTTTGGTGCTGGTAATCACGAAATGTTATTTATTGTAGTCATTCCGTCCTCCTTTATGGTTGTGAGACCTGGCCACTGAGAGTGGAAGACGTGAAAAGACTATCTGTCTTTGATCATAGGTGCCTGCGCTCTATTTCCCGTGTAAAGTGGCATAATAAGGTGAGCAACATTGAGGTTAGGCGTCGGTCGAGTGCTAGGAAGGTAAGGAGGGGAAATCAATCGACGAGGCTGTGAAATTACATCGACTGAGAGAGATGGTTAGGACATGTGTTACGTATGCCAAGCCATCGCCTCCCTCGACGAGCAATGTTATCGTATATAGGGTCAGGCTGGAAAAAAGCTAGCGGTGGTCAAACAAAAACTTGGCACCAGTCAATGAAATCCACAACGGTTGGTCTAAGCCACGTAGGAAGGTGTAGACTTCCAGGCTGGGGTCCTCGAGACGGTAAAAATCAATGGTTGGAAACAATTGGTGACATGGTTCAAAATCGTTCTCAGTGGTGCAGATGCATCCACTCCTTGTGACTTATGATCTCCAATGAAACTGTTTTGTTTTTCTTTATTACTCCTTTGTCTCACACCTCTGCTCACTGTTTCGATTATGCTTTTCTTGTACTTTCTCTTCTTGCTTCGCGTGCTACACGGAGTGTGGCGACTTGAACTTCCGCACATTTGTGCAAAGTTCTATGTCGAAAACAGACAGACAGTCATTCTTACTTTAGTGGAATAGTGGTATAGTTGTGGATATGTAATCATTGCTTGAAATTTATACGTCTCATACTTAGGGTTGACTTTCATATGCGCTCTACCACTAAATAAACAAGTGCAATTATTCTACTTCTATCTAATGTTCCTATATTTTAGCATGCTATATTTTGGCAGTAATAAATTGCTTTTCACTTTTTGTTTTCACACCGACAGTCAGAAGTTTCGGGATTCAAGGTGGAAGATACAAATATCTGTGTAAGACTGTTTACTTGTTCATTAATTTTCAAAATAAGAAACATTAACACATAGTTTTAGGGAATAAGTACAGTAAGCTTGCGTCCTCGAAATTTTAGGTGTAGTAGTAGCAGAATCATATCTAAATCAATTAGTTCCCTTTATAAATTTAGATAAAGTAATTTGTCTGAATCGTGTAAGGCATTTGCGCAACACATTTGGAACAATCTGATCACTCACGGACTTGTCATAGGAATATATATGAAATTGATAAAGAGGTAGGAGGTGAGAAAACAGACTTAGGTCAAGTTAAAAGGACATACTGAAGGTCAAAATAACAATGAAGATCGCTAAACCAAGTAGCAGAGGTATCAGTTCATCTGCTATGGTATCAAAACAAAATTTACCAAGGAAGGTTTAGTATGATGACGAATTGTTTTTGAACGTAATTTAGAAAGCCTTTTACGGATAGCTTATAATGTATTTCTAAATGCTGGAGGTTTTCGCCGTGTGTCATCATTATTGTATCTTAAATACAACCTTATGTCGACAGGCACTTCGGTATTATCTTGGATGCTGTCTTCAGTGACTTTTATGTATGTAGGCCAATTACTCTATAGACATGCTACTAAGGTATATCATTTGTCTACCGATCATGTCTTTGTACTTCTGGTGCATGAATTCAAGTAGAGCATGCAGTAAAAAGACATTTGAAGACATAATCCCCAGATTAATAGACATTCAACGGAACAGTTTACTAAGCCAGCGTAAACTTTGTGATAAAAATCCCGTGACTTTCAAAATAAAGCGAAGACCCCTTGTACACGTTGATATCGTATTAGTGTATATATAGGTAAATTCATAGAGGAGATGATCGTATTAAATGATCCAGTGGGATATCAGTCAATATAAAAATGATGGTATAGCTGGTTGAACATTAAGAAAACCAGAATTCTGACTAACCTGAGCTAAATTAACTTTGAATAAAACAAATTATTTTAATATGATTGCTTCGTAATCTCATCTCTTGAACAGCAGTCTAATCCAGATAGCAGATGACTATCGAGATTCTTGTGTAGTCAGAGTTAGCTGTAGAAGAAGTTCGTTTTCCTAAGAAGCTTTAGAGGTGAAAATTCTACAAGAGTAAATTGAACATAGAATGACTACTACGATTAATAATGTTAACGTGGATTTCGACTACAGAAGCACCATAGGTACAACTTTAAGCTTGTTATCTGAGGATTACTTAGTCTTTATTCTTTGTCAACACTGATATCTCCGAACGTCCTTACTTCAAATGCTTGAATATTACAGCGGAAATTTTGTTGAAACTATGTTTTATCTAATGAATAAGGTAATGACAAACTGTATTTAAAAGGAAGTGACCGGATGAGTCGTCGGTGGCATACAGAAAACTACCTTGTTAGTAGTGTGCCTTACGCTTTCTAAATGAATAGTATGCCTTCCAGTGTAAAGTTAGTAGTAGTCATTATTTTAGGGTAATCTCACCTCACTTTTAAATAATAGCATCTTTATTTATGATTTGTGTTTCAGTTTTCATATTTATTATATTTCATTGAATAAATATGTGATAAGGTATATGATTGATTAACATTAAATTAATTTGCACCTTTGCTTTTCCCCCTATTACTATTATTATTATATCCTTTAATTCCTAGAGGAACATAGGGCTTCAGCTGCGCATCTCCATTGCCTTCTGTTTTCTGCCAACTTTTTCACCCCACCCGAAGTCTGCGCACATGCTTTCATCTCCTCTTCACACGACTTCTTCCCCCCCCCCTCTTTGCGTGTGTTTACAATGTATATACATACTTCTTTTGGCTACACCTATTTTGCTCAATCTGCTACCTCCCACCCACATACTTTGTGTGGGTGTTTTTTGGTTTACATTTTCTGTTTATTTTTCGTAAAACTGTGTTCGTGTGCTTATTTATGTTTAATCATCATCCTTGTTCTTGTTTGAATGTTTTACTACAACACACATCTACGCATATGTACAGTTTATTTAAAATGTTTATACCTACCTACATACGTATCTATATAGCTATACATACGGGTGTAGGAATGATAAATTAGGTGTGTTTTACAGATATTCCTGTTATCATTATTACTATTATTATACTGATAGCTTTGCGTACTGTGTTCGGATATCTTACCATTCACGGTTATATTCTTCTGTTAGTTATCTCCTTTGAATACTTTGCGAGATCTTGCCAACTCTTCTTTATTTGATATACCCTTGAACAATTAGTTAGATGTTATGTTGAAGAGACAGGGTTTTATTAACTGGCTTACTTTCTTGCCCACTTTCATCTCTTACTTCTCAGTCTGCTTGTTTCTTGTAACGGTCCCTAAGGCTGTTTTGCGTGAATGGCTCTCCTTTCCTTTCTTTATATCTTCCAATCAAGCTTACTTTATCTCAACTTATTTTAAGTAAGTAATATTTTGATACATTCATGCGTGATTTGTTGTTAGGGTCTTTTGATTGCACGCTCTTTAGTTTATGATCATAATTATCATTGTTGCTGTATTTTGTTTAGAATGCACTTGTGTCTGTTTGCGTGCGTGTGTGCGTATATGTGTTATTGGAAAGATGTACATTCTTTTAGTTTTTGTGTTCAATTGTGAATGTTATCGTTCTTGCCGTCATTGTTGATTACATAGTTGTTTTGTTGTGTTTTAAAATGTCTTGTTGTTTTTCTGTAGTATGCTATGCTGCTGTCGGTTATTTATTGTAGTCATTTATTCTGTTATTTAGATTTTGCTTGTTTGTTTTGCTTCTCATCACCTACCTGGGTTATGACACCCCAGATATATTTGTTCCGATTAACACAACAGTATTTAGATACCAGACAACTATTTATTGTAACAATTATTATTATTATCATCTTAACAAGAATCTCATCATACCATATCGGGTGCTGCGTAAATAATAATGGTAATAATAACAGCAATGATTGATTAACTAACTGCAGCGATATAAACTACACGCCTTTTTATAGGACAGCTGTGTTTTGCATACTGTTTTCTCGTTTTGAAAAATGTTGACTGTGAGTTCCCTTCAAAAAGGTATTGTTTTGTGTATTTATTTAATTTGAGCATCAGACTAATTGTTTTTGTTTTTTTTGTGCTTCAGTATTTCTTTTTCTTTTTATCGCTACATTAGACATCTGAAAGTGAAAAGAATGGCAAACATGTGAAGTCTGATAGCAGGTGTGTGCGTGTGTGTGCTCATTCGTGTTATTCTCTTTTGATGTACTTTATTTTTGTACATTTGTAGTGTACTTTAAAAGACGAACTTTTGACCTTTCAGTTGCATATCAACACATCCCCCGGCCTGTCATATAATATTTGATTATATTGAGTGATGCCAATTTCTCAGAATTTATCACCCTTAATATTATAGACTCAAATTATTACTTTGATAAAGCTATTAGCATTAAATAGCGAAACGTCAGTAAGAGTGTAACAACGGAAGGCAAGGGCCGGCAACAGATCATTTTATTACGGAAATCAGCACGTATTTATGTATATTTCCTGTACATTATTATAGCTTATGCAAGTGGACAAACGCAGTCTTCTGATTGGTTGTTTTCGGTATTTCTCGGAAAGTGGAGCCATCTATCTGCGAATCATATTTGCCCACGTTTAAGTCTGCTGTGATTGGTTGTTGAATCAGCCTTGTTCATATTTTCTCACCGCCAATATAAGTGACCTAGACGCTGATGTAGATTAATGTCGACCAATTGGCTAGCAGCCTGCTTTCACCACAAGAGGAACAATATCGTTTTGTTTTTTATTCGTTGGGAAATACAAAATTATAATAATATATTATTATATATATGATAATAATATTATATTATAGTGAATATCAGATTATTACACATTAAATTAGCGTGATAAAAGTAATAAGAAGTTAAATAAAACGTAGTGAATGCGAAGAACAGATCAAACATACTACTGTACGTTTTTGGGAAATCAGATGATATGTTATATAAGTTTAAAAAAGATTTTCACATTCACTGTATGTAGAACTGATTCAGTTTGGTGCTTGTATGCCTCATTTAAACACCAGTCGGAGTAGAGGTAGTGCGGTATATTCAACTATTAACAGTGAGACCTTCTAACAACAAACAAAGCAGGCAGTTAGACACTTTCCGCACTTGAATATTATAAACATTGTGTTGTAATTTTTTTATAGCTGGTATATATTGGAAATGAATTTTTGAATCTAATCATTCGGTTTGCGGCGATTTTATTTTATCACAATTTGTATCATATGAAGGGACCGTTTTTTAAGTAATTTTTAAGTCCTTAGTTTCTATTGAACGTATCCTACAGAATATTATCAGAATCTGGAAATCACAGGTCAATGAATGGCAGCATCTTCACTTCGCAACTTGATGATGCCGAACTCGGACCCTTACGACATCTGTCCAGTGCTCCCTGATTTCTTGTGTATATAACCTGGTTGCAGTTTGTGTTAAAACTAATTTTGGAATTTCGCGATGTTTATAGAGTTTAATTTTTAGTGTTAGTTTCACCTAAATAAAATCCCTTTGTTATTCCACAGAGACAGTGATTTTGACCATGATGCACAGTTAAGACATGGATCTCTGTCATCTCCTGTTAAACAGTCTGGATTGCCAAAAAAACTCCTTCATCCTGCTCAATTCGAACGCAGTAATTTAGATGATCACAATAAGATCATATCCGGAACGCATCATATCAAATCTGAATCATCACATTCTAGTAAGCATATTTCTTTCCCTTACAGTTAGTAAATGTGTTTTTGCGTAATCAATTCCATATCTTCGTATATATATATATATATATATATATATATATATATATATATATATATTTATACATGCACGCAGAGGGTGCGGCAACTAGGGCCCTGATGCAATGGGAGGCGATCTCGCCCAGGATAATGACTGTCAGATTCAACTTCAAATGAAGGAAAGTGTCAGTTATACAATGCTATGCACCTGGAAACAACGCAGACCTCGAAAAAGTAAAGTTCTACAGGCAACAATGGACAATGCTCCAGTTGGTCACATTAGAATACTAATGGGCGACATGAACGCCAAACTGGGACCAGACAACACCGGGAGAGAACTCATGGGTGGAGAAGCACTTGGAGAGATGAATGAAAATGGAGAACTCTTCGCTGACTCCTGCGCGTTCAGAGAACTAGTGATTGTTGGCAGAGTATACGAGCACAAAGATGTCCAAAAGGATACATGGGTAACACCAGATGGGCGAACTAGAAACCGAATTGACTTCATCTCAATCTCAAGGAAGTGGGGACACAGCTTTTTGGATACAATATTAAGAAACGGAGCAGACGTAGGCTCAGACCACTATCTCGTACAAGGAACACCCCAAGTGAAATTAAAAACTTTCGGAGAAACAGAAGCTGCAGATAGACCACATGCCAATTTTGATGCTCGAACACTGATGGATCAGGATACAAAGGATGTCTTCACTGCAATCATAAGGAAAAGGCGGGGACACAATTCAACACTAGCGACGAGACCAGCGTTGAAAAGGAATCGAACAACCTGAAAGCAGTGTGAAGTCAAACCTACATGGAAGTTCTAGTCAGGAAGAAGGGACAGGACAAACATTGGCTCACTACCTACATAGGGCGACTAATAGAAGAGAGAAGGGTAGTGAAACAAAAGATTATCCAGTGCACCGGCGAGCAACAGAAACAGGAGTTGAATTCAAGCTGCAATACATTGAACAAAAGAGTGAAGAAGAGTGCCAAAGAAGACGAAAGAAAGTATTACGAAGCTATGGCAAGTGAAGCAGAGCGAGCTGCAGGCAAAGGAGACCTCGCCACACTCTACCAAACAACTAGGCACTTATCGGGCAAAAGTTCGACACAGATTAAGCCAATAAAGGACGACAATGGAAAGTCAATCACCAAAGAGGTGGAACAAAGGAAATACTGGGCTGAACACTTCAAAAGACTTCTAAATCGTCCGCCACCTACAACGCGCCCAACAATACCAACAACGGAAGCAAAACTACCAGTGAACATCGACCCTCCGACGAAATCAGAGGTCCTGAATGCAATCAAGATGCTATCACCGGAAAAGCAGCAGGACCAGATGGAATCCCAGCAGAAGCTTTGAAAATAGACCCAGAGAAAACAGCAGACTTGATGACGCCATTGCTGGAGAAGGTGTGGAAAGAAAGAGGGCAAAGTACCCGAGGATTGGAAGAAAGGATACTTTCTCAAACCACCAAAGAAAGGAGACTTAAGTCAATGCAAAAACGCGCGGAATTATGCTCCTGTCCATCCCAAGCGAAATACTAAGCCTCACCATCCTGGAGAGAATCAAACAAGCCCTAGATGGAAAACTCCGACCGGAACAAGCTGGATTCAGGAGAAACAAGTCATGTATTGATCAAATTGCCACTCTACGGATCATCATTAAGCAAAGCTTGAAGTGGCAGTCACCTCTCTATCTCAACTTCATCGACTTTGAAAAGGCCTTCGGCAGCGTCGATTGAGAGGTGATTTGGAAATTACTTCGCTACTACGGGGTGGCGCCGACAATTACACATCTCATCCAACAGTTATACGACAACGCTGCATGCCAAGTAATCCACATCAGGAAACTCACGGAATCCTTCGAAGTGAAGACCGGATTAAGACAAGGTTGCCCACTGCTGTCTCCCATGATTTTCCGATTGTGGGCGGTAGGCTGAATAATGCGACAGATAGCGACAGGAAGCAGGGAAACAGGCATAAAAGAGACCCACACAAAACACTTGGGGAATCTGGACTTCGCCGTTGATGATATTTGTCTGATTTCCCACAAACTGGGAGATATGCAAGTGAAAAACAACAAGTTGGCAGAAAAAGCATCCAGAGAAGATAGGACTTCAGGTGAACGTAGAAAAAACAGGTAGGTGCTGCAGATTCCTGGGCAACAGCGGCAGCAACAACAACAGTCAACAATCAGAATAAATGGGAGGAATCTGAAAGCGGTGACCTTTAACTACCCACCTGGGCGGATGGAACTGATGGGGATATCAAAGCGAGCATCGGGGGAAGCAAGGCACGCTTTCATTACTCTGAGTTTGTGTGGCGGTCAGTGTGAAAAATAAGATACGGATTTCCAACTCCATTGTTTAGTCGATGCCACTATATGGATCAAAGACTTGATGTCGCATCACGAGGGGCACTTCGAACAAACTACAGACCTTCATCAACAGCTGTCCTCTCTCAATACTACCTAAGATCAGATGGCCGGCCAGAAAAGATCAGGAACAGGGATCTCTGGGAGCGAACCAAACCATCAGGAACCGATTGCGAAACAAATAGGCAGAAAGAAGTGGAGATGGATTGGCCATACGCTGAGGAAACAAACCATCAAGTGACATCACTAGACAAGCCATCGCTCGAGTGGAACCCGAAAGGGAGGCGGCGAGTTGGTCGTCAGTGTGAGGGTCACATGGAGGAGGTCATGTGAAGAGGAGATGAAAGCATGTGGGCAGACTTCGAGCGGGGTGAAAAAGTCGGCAGAAAACCGAAGTCAATGTAGACGCGTAGCTGAAGCCCTATGTTACTCTAGGGATGAAAGTAAATAATTTTATATATATATATATATAATCCAGTGACTCACTACAGTGGTCTATTTATGGTTTGTTTTTGATAGGTCGTTCACTGCATGAGGAACGGTCCATTAAAAAAAGCAGTCAGGTGAATAAGCACTCTACATCGACAAAGCACAAAACCGATTTGAGTAGCTCTCATTCGACAGAAAATACCACTCACTCAACCCATAACCGAAGTCGGATTGGTTCAAATAGTCTCGTACCCTATATCAGCACAGATGATGAACTGCCTCATGACAATAAAAATCATTCATATCCTAAAAGAAAAATGAGACGAAAAGACGACGATGCTGTTCTGCCCAAAAGCTATGCCTTGCCAGAAAGTAATGCTACTAATCTAAATTCATCATTAAAAGGTCAAACTTCTGAGATACTTAAAAGTGTCAAAGTTATAAAAAGCACTGCAAGATCTACATGGGATTCTAGTGATAGTGACTTTGATTCTACGGTTGTTCGTACAGAAAAGGCTAGCGAAAGTGAGAATACTATCCCAGTATATAATCATACATCAAATCTATCGAGTTCTTCACGTAAGACATCTCACTGTAAGTGCTTTCTTTTATCCTAATTTCATCATTTGTTTACAAGTGTGAAATTATTAACTTCTTTGTTAGCGTATTGATACAAATGTCTAATTGAAGATGTATGTTGAACCAGGCTAGTCGATGACAGAATTTTCAGTGATGTACTGGTTATCTTTAATGCAATCCTAAAGACAGTCCTCTAGCTAACTGACCTTATAAATCTGAGCTTTGCCTATGAACATCGGTTGTCATATGTACCGAGAAAGTACATAATACTAAAGGAATGAATTCTAGTAAAATTACAATTAGTAAAGTATGATGAACAGGGAATAAATTTAATTACGATTAGTTGAATATTTTTAGAATTTGGCAAATGACATTGTAATTCAGTCATATTGCAAAGAGCTTAACCATTGATTCCTAACACTTCGAAGATCTTAGTCGAGTAATATATACACCTGCCTACCTGTCCTAGACGAACACAGCCAGTAACTTCATAGATTGTCGCTATAAGTTCTCACTGCCCCTAGCTCTGTTTCAGCCTTATTCTACTTCAGCTAACATTGCAGGTTGATTTTATTGGTGATTCGAAGTGCTCAACATTCCGTAACCACCTCAGTCTGCGAAGCTTTACAGACCCATTGATTAATTTTCGCGACATGTACAACACTACGCTAGGGCTCATTATTACTGAGCATATTTGATCAATTATCTTGGGACATTGAATGCAAGTAACTTATTGCAGAAGACTAATTTTTTCATTCACTTTCAACGACTATATTTCACTGGTGTAAAGTAAACTGAGGGGAACTGCTACTCGTATACGTGCTTTGGTATTTAACCTGACTGTGTAGGTTGCATTCAGAGAATACTTAGGCCCTTTCATTTCTCGTCAACGTGTTTGTTTTTTGAAAACGTGACACATTTCTACTGGTATAATAATAGGACTTAGGCATTGTAGTAGAGTATAATTTCAGGTTTAATGTATTCAGTGAAACAACACTTGTCGTTAACGTTAGAAGCATAGTTTTTCGATCTAAATCATATTGATTTTATGTGATTTTGTACACTTATTTCCGTATTAATGGACATTGGAACGAGTGATTTCCCCTACATAATAACCTCTTCCCACTTCTGAATTTCTAAACTCATAGTTTTGTAGTTATACTAATTGTACAAGTTTCAGTTTGATTTCTTGGTAAAAAATAGTTTATTGTTAACTTATCTCCAGGGAAGATTATTATCCAATGACCATGCGATCACAGAATTTAGTAAACATTTGCAAAGTAAAAGACGAGTGAAAATCTGTTTACTTGATGCTTATTTCTTTGTGTCTCATTTCAGCCACTGCAAATAAGTTAAGTTCGTCGAGAAAATCGAAAAGCAATCCAACTACGAAAAGGAAAAATGACACTTATAGCAAAGATGATTCAGTCAACTCTAAAGAAGCTCGGTCCAAGTTATCCAGTAGTGATTCAGACTATAGAAGACGCGAAAGAAATTCAAATCGTCAACGGTCCAGCAAACGACGAAGAAAATCCGTCTCATCTAGAGCTTCTGATGGCTCTCGAGGAACACATCGTGCCAAAAACACAGCCGATGATATATCTCCAAATCATAAACGTTCACTTTCTCATGGATCCTCATCGTATCATTCGTCAATGAGTAGGTCACAGTACTCCTCTCGGACGGAGTCCTCTTGTCAGTATGATCGACGCAAGCGTAGTTATCTAAAGTCAAAAACTTATAGTTCCAGGTCATCTGCCGGTACTTCACGTTCATACCGCTCAAGCTACAGTTCAAGATCTAGGTCAAACTCTGCAAGAACTCCTAGGTATCGTAGACACGTCAGGTCGTCTTACCGGAGGAGACATAGACATAGGAGCTATTCCGTTCGATCACGGTCTCGTTCACGAAGCTCTCACTCAACAGATTCCAGTTTTTCTTCACAGTCCTCTCGCTCGTCACCCTCTCGATATTTTTCACGTCGAAATGTCTCTAAAAAACGTTCTTCTTCTCGTCGCTCTCGTACTCCTTTATATCGACCTAGTTCATCTTTTAAAAAGGTTTCGGATGATCACGTTCGAAGTACACCGGAACGCCGTGTCGCTCACCTAGGTAGTAATTTGGATGATAAAACAAATAGTCCTTATGGTGATTCAAAGCCTAAGTCTTATATACCTAGTATTAACGAAACAGTCTCAGCAGCTGTCAAAAGGGTTTTAGGTGACGGACAATCAAGTAAGCAATTCTTTTATTTTTCTATTGGATTGTTATTCTGATTATTATTATTATTATTCTGGTTGTTGCAAAAAGCCTGTGAAACATAGATTACTGTATATCACTGTAACACTTAATCGGTTTATTTGTGCATCACTTGATTGTTTTTCAGAGAATCAGAAGATATCACACGAATCAACCATATCAAAAAATGACAATTGTACTACTGAATCAAATTCTGCCAATAATTCTAAATTGGCTGATGAATACAATAGTGATTCACGTTCACAACCATCGACTTCATCAAATGTAACAGAGTCAAATGATAAAACATTCAGTCCACCGGTTCTGGTTGATATACCATTACCTCAAGATGCACTACATCAGTCTTCTGACAATTCGAATAATAATAGTAATAACTCAAATAAATCTGCTACCTGCATTGGACCACAGGTTAGCTGACTGGATTTTGTACATAGTGTTTTGACATCACATGTTTACCTAAGTGTACTTTGGGTGAAAAATGAATTATCGACCATGCTATGAAATGTAAATGCTGTTGCGTAACTACTTGCGTTTCCGTGCAGTTGGAGGGGGATCACACCTTTTCTGTTGAAGATTGTTCGTACTACCTCGGTAAATTTAACTGGGCTCGAGCTCTTGTGAATTAGTGACCGTAGATTGTTGAACGCCTACACTGATGAGCTTTTATACGCCTATATACACTTAGTTACTCTGTAAGGGGTAGTTAAAGTGGCAGGATGATGTGTGCTACCGGAGTTCTCTAGGTTTACATACCTCCTATTGCTTGAGTATAATGCGAGTCTCGGTCGTCAACCTGATAAACATGAACAAAAGAGTTTGTCCAGCTCATTTTTCTTCTGTGGCTCAGTTGAGATACCCGTTTATGTATAGAATAATTATCCTAGTGTGTCTTAAATATGAGTCCTGTGATTTGCGAACCATCCTATCCACAAAAAAATTGACTGACTCACTGGTTTCAATGTAGAGTTTTGCACAGATGTGGAAAAGTTCGAGTTGCCATACCTCATACAAAGCAAGAGAAGAGAGTAAAGGGAAATTCAATAGAGAGATAATAAACGGCAATATGAAGCTAAAGGAATAGTAATATGGAAGAACAATAGAATTTTACTGGATATAACAGATCACAAAGAGTGAATGCATCTGCGCCAGCTAATGAATGAGAACAATTTCAGGCCATATCTCACGTTGTGTCTTCAAAACCACACCCCTGTTTTGCGTAATTTCGCCTACCAGTTTGACTGCTACTGTGGAGCCAGTTACATAAATCGTACAATCAGGCGTGTTTCTCGTCGGATTTTCCCAACATCACCCTGCGTTGTTTAAGTAAAGGACGGACAAAATACATTCATAGCTCTATTCTATCTCATCTTGTGGATACAGAACACAAGATTGATGTTAACAAGACGCCTTTCAAAGTCATCTACCTACCGCATACCAACTAATCTTAACTTAACCTTAAGAGTTCGTCTACTAAATATTGCTGACGCTGTTAGGATCCACATTAAGAAACCTAACTTACGTGTTCAAAAGAAGTTGGTTTAGATACTGTCCTTAACTTGGCCATCAAAGTTTCTAATGGTCCTCAATTTATTATGGAAATTTCCCTAATTATAGTTGATATTCTGTTTGCTATTATATTTTTATGTTTATTGTAATTTATGCATCTTTAGTGAACTGTGATTTCATCGATCTTACTTAACAGATCCATATTATGAAGAAAAAAACAATATTGTAAATGACGACTATTCTAGAGTATTGTATGTATATAAACACGCTTAATTGTTTAACCAGAAGAGGAAATTATGGAAAAGGTTATTCTTTCGTCTCTCTCTCTCCCTATGTATATATATATATATAACCGGCTTTGTGGTAAAACATTGCGTTCAACTTATTCTGCGTTCTGCGTATTATGGCTTCCTGTGTGCACGATCCGTGTTTATTTAGTTAAAACCGGCATTAATTTACGAGCCATCATCAATTTTTTCTTCATTTGTTGGAACTTAACAGCTGTAAACTTGTAGTGTGTTGCAAATCATTGTTTGTGAATTTTATTTTTGCGTATAATGGTGATGGCATGTGTTATTTTCTCCCTTTATTGTTATTTTTCTTCTATGATATAGGTTTCTGCGGATCTAGCTAAGCGCTTTGGTTTATCTGTTGCTGATACAACCGTCAAATCAGAGACTACTGACTCTATAGCGACTGTTTCAAGTAGCAGTACTACCGTCGTTACTTCCGAAAGTTCACAACTTCAAAATACTTCTAACTCTTCCTGTGATACTGTATCTTCATCAGCTACAAAAAACACAGATACTGAAGTTACCAGCGCTAATCCTCCAGAATTCACAATCCCACCTGAACAAGCGGAGTTGTATAGACGTATGCTTAAATTTTTTACTTGCCATTGTTTGAATTATGGGGAGATATATATCTAGTAGTTTTCATCACCGTGCATTCATCTCGAATATCTTTGGAATTCTTTGTTTCATAGAGTATTTCCTCTCTGCTTCTTGATGTGTATTTTTCCTAACCGCAAGTGAAAATGAAAGCTACACTATTGTGAACCATTAAGAAGACTTAGCTGTCTTCGCCTTAGATACTCGAGTTTGGAAAAGGGAAACTAACCTATTTATGCATCATTGAAAAAATGCTCTCTTTCAACTAATTCATTTTCGTAATTTTACGAGTTGATCACGGATTGATGTCAATTAGAGAACCATTGAAAACCAGGGAGTGAGTACTGGACATCTGCCGATTCATCCTAGTTTGGGAATCATTGGCAGTACGCACCCACTGGGATTCGAACCCCAGGACCTTCCGGGTCCCAGTGGCTGAATGGTATACGAGCTCGCCTTGTAACCGGAAGGTCCTGGGTTCGAATCCCAGTGGGCGCGTACTGCCAATGATTCCCAAACTAGGATGAAACAGCAGCTGTCCAGTACTCCCTGATTTTCAATGGTTCTCTAACTGATATCAATCCGTGATCAACTCGTAAAAACATAACTAACCCTTACAAACCAATCTATAGAAAATTTTCTAATTTCACAGTTGTATGCTCACCTCTGTATGTATCTGCTCTTCTACATGTACCTGTAGAGCTGATTGTATTGAACGCTGCAAGCGAGTTCTCCTGAAAATGCATAGATAAATAGAATGATGAAGTTTTGCACTTGTGAAAACCTTCATTTGGCTCACTCAGCCTCGAGGTGATTTATTTTCTGTAATTAATCTCCAAGACTAAATTCAGCTGCTCTAGAAGTTTCGGAATTTCAATCCAAGGGACAGAGCTTCTGTGGCGTAAATCTTAACAGCAACAGACTTCACACATGTATTGTTTAGGTAGGTCATGAGAAGCCAACGAAATAAATGATGGTACCATATTATTCTGCGAAACTTGTTGTTGTTCCTCCTTCATCTCTAACGGTTTTTTTATGTTTTGTTTCTCCCTTTGCCATGTTATAGGAAGATAATGGTGTATTGTATGAGATGCTGAAATTTTCATTGGGTATCTACAGTATTGTTTGAAACCAACCCACTGTTATTGTAATTACTATCATAATTAATTATTATACTTATTTTTCTGTTGTTTTTTTTACTGTGCGTATATTTGATATTATTCTTAGTGTGAATTTGGACAAGTTCCTTAACTTTGCTTAACTCTGCTTATATTTTGATTTGATTAGACCTAATATGCTGAAAATTCCATGCTTATTTATGAGTCTTGATTTTAAAATAAAAGGGGAGCAATTTTGTAATGTCACTGAAATAGGCAAGTTACCAAAACTATCGAGTGTTGTATTTGACAATAGTAATAAATTGTGCAGGTTATAATTATAATTTGTTAATCACTGTCACATCAGTCGTTACGAATTCAGGCTTCTTTTTTTCTGGTTTTTTAGCACTGTTGATTCGCTTTTGTTTTTGATATCTTGGTATAATTTTGTTGAATGGGGAAATTTATCATAGCATATTCTCTCTATCTTCTCCGATTACTGCACTTCTGAAGCTTGTCTCCCTTTTTAAAATCATTTGCTCTTCTTTTACTGTTTGTTGTTACTGGTATCTTCTTTCATTTTAGCACTACAAGAGCAAGCCAAGGAACACGCTTTACGCCGTACCGGCATGCTTATGTCCGACGAGTCAAAATTTCAGTTGATGCAGCAACAACAACAACAAGCTCAACGACAATTATTTCTTCTTCTTCAACAACAACAGCAGAATCAACCCTCTGTGGTTTTTTCTCCTGCTGGAGTTATCTATTCAACTCCTTCACTGTTACCTTTCTATGCTACTAGTAGTACTCCATTGTTATCCAGCATACCAAGTAGTAATGTAGTAGCTACTGGTAACGTTAATATCACAGACCTGTCGGTGCCTCAACAGCTTTCTGCTCTGTGTGGAGCTGCATATCAGCAACAGGTTAGTTTTCGTATTGTATTTTTTGAAATTTCTCTCACAGACGGATATAGGAATATCACTTGAAAACTTTGTTTTCAGTTTTACTTCCATATGTTAGCATCAAATGTGTGTGTGTGTCGCTGACTGTGTTGATCGGTGTTAATAGAATATGTATCATGTAGTATTCAACGTCTTTATGACTTCGGTACAAAGCATTTATTGTGGTCCGAACACTTTAAGCTTTCAAACGAAGTAGTCTGAATGTCATTTTATTGAACACTGTACTATGCAAATAGCCAACCAACAGTTCTCCTGAGTGAAGAACTGCAGTTCTTCTGATTTAAACTTTTGAATTTTAATCAAATTCATCTTGGAATGCTGTTGGTGAACTTAACTCAAAACCTGTGAATATATCTCTGGTGTAATAATTACATTTATTTGATCAATGAGCGTTTCTGACTGGTGTCATTGGCTTTCACGTAATCATGGCAACCGGCACATTGGCTTAAGCAGTCGAGATTCAGACAATGGATACCGGGTTTGAGTCCCGCCCCACCTACTTCAACTCAGGCAGCTGGGTGCTATTATCAACCACCACACAATAAGTGTGGGTTGTAGCCTAGTACTGAGTACTCGAGATCTAAATAACTAAGCAGTATCCTTTGTATAAGGCTGATTACATTTTCACACTTCAAACCACTTCATTTATCAAGTTTTGGGCATTTAGATAATTGTATTTCTCCAACCATCATGGTGATGTATTTATTATTATTATTATATCCTTTAATTCCTAGAGGAACATAGGGCTTCAGCCGCCCAAGTCTCCATTGCCTTCTGTTTTCTGCCAACTTTTTCACTCCGCTCGAAGTCTGCCCACATGCTTTAATCTCCTCCTCGCATGACCTCCTCCAAGTCACCCTTCCATTGACGGCCAACTCGCCACCCGCTTCCCTTTCGGGTTCCACTCGAGCGATGGCTTGTCTAGTGATGTCACTTGATGGTTTGTTTCCTCAGCGTATGGCCAATCCATCTCCATTTCTTTCTGCCTATTTGTTTCGCAATCGGTTCCTGATGGGTTGGTTCGCTCCCAGAGATCTTTGTTCCTGATCTTTTCTGGCCGGCCATCTGATCTTGAGTATTGAGCTGAGAAGACTGTTAATGAAGGTCTGAAGTTTGTTGGAGATGCTCTTGATGACGCGCTGGTCAAGTCTCTGATCCGTATAGTGAGTAGCACTGACTGACTTCACATTGGAGTTGAAAATCCAGATCTTATTTTGGATGTTGAACAGTGCTGTTGACCTCCACACAGACTTAAGGGTAATGAAAGCCTGTCTTGCTTTTCCGATTCTGGCTTTGATATCCTCGTCAGTTCCGTTGGCCTGTAGTTGAAACTATGCCTCCCAGGTAGGTGGGTAGGTAAAGGAGGTTGTTTCTTTCAGGTTCCTCCCATTTATGCTGGCTGATTGTTGTCTGTTGTTGTTGTTGTTGTAGTGGCTGTTGGTGTTGGCCAGGAATCTTCATCACCTCTGTTTTATCTATGTTCACTTGAAGTTTGATATTCTCTGGATGCTTCTTCTATTGCCAGCTTGTTGCTTTTCACTTGCATATCTTCCAGTTTGTGGGAAATCAGACAGATATCATCGGCGAAGTCCAGATCCTCCAAGTTCCTTTTTGTGTGAGTCCATTTTATGCTTGTTTCCTCATTGCCCGTTGTCTGTCGCATTATCCAGTCTGCTGCAATCAGGAAGATCATTGGTGATAGTAGGCAGCCAGCTTGTCTTCCTCTTGTCCTCACTTCGAAGGTTTCTGTAAGTTTCCCGTAGTGGATTACTTGGCATGCAGCATTGTCGTATAACTGTTGGATGAGATGTATAATTGTCGATGGGACCCCGTAGTAGTGAAGTAGTTGCCAAATCACCTCTTGATCGACGCTGCACTATCGAAGGCCTTTTCATAGTCGATGCAGTTGAGATAGAGATGTACACAAATTCGTATATAATCTCTTAATATACACTTGGTGTGACTTTGATTATTTTCTGTATTCTGAGAAACAATTTCAGAGTGTCTATACAACTTATGATGGAATTATCCGTTCGTCTAATTTAGAGTATTCAGGAACAGTTTTTGACGGATTTCGCAAACAGATCAGTGTTAAAATTCCTTCCTTTCAGTCAGTTAGAAATACTATTTAGTTTAGACAGCGCGCGCTTTTCGACTATTACGCTACATTTTGCTTATTAATAAAAACTCTTATTTCTGTAAAATTTTATGCCAAGAGTTTGCGGAAATTATCACAATTATTAACCTTTCGAACACTGAATCCAAAAAATACAATCTTATTGACAGATAATACACATAACCCACTGTTTGGATTTGTGGAATTTTTAAACATAAACACATCTATAATTGTATATATTGTTGGATTTATATGTTCAAGTTGCTCCAAGTCAGTGAGTTTATGGTTAAGATATCATTTTAGTTAACTGTACTGAACTATATTGCATGTTGTCTTATTGTATAGTTGTCGTCGCTTTTTGCCCTTTTTTCTGTGAACTGTTTCCTTTGTTGATGTTGTTCTCATTGTTTGTCCGTTATTTTCTGATTTTGAGGGGAGCAACCCAAAAAGTTGCTTCTCTCTAAACTTTTACTTAATGTAATCATTCTTTTCTCAGGCGTGAGGCTAGCAACCCCACCCTGTAAACAAAAATTGCTAAAGAAACTTCAGTATGATGAACCTCCTTGCACCAAAAGAAAAAGTCTGTGTAGGAACATGGAACGTCCGAACTATGTACGAGACTGGAAAGCTGCCCAGATCGCCAACGAGATGAAAAGATACGGAATACAAGTGCTGGGAATATGTGAGAGCAGATGGAATGGGAGTGGACTCACCAAATTGTCAACAGGTGAGTCAGTGATCTACTCCGGTCACCCAGAAGATAACCACACGCACACCGAGGGCGTGGCTATCATGATGTCACCAACGGCAACGAAAGCCCTGATACAATGGGAGGCGATTTCGTCCAGGATAATGACCGCCAGGTTCAACTCCAAAGGAAGGAAAGTGTCAATCATACAATGTTATGCACCCACAAACAACGCAGACCTCGAGAAGAAAGAAGAATTCTACAGGCAACAATGGACAATACTCCAGCTGGCGACATGAAAATACTAATGGGAGACATGAACGCCAAACTGGGACCAGACAATACGGGAAGGGAACTCATCATGGGTAGAGAAGCTCTAGGAGAAATGAATGAAAACGGAGAACTCTTCGCCGACTTCTGCGCCTTCAACGAACTGGTGATTGGTGGCAGTGTATACAAGCACAAAGATATCCACAAGGCTACATGGGTGTCACCAGACGGGCAAACCAAAAACCAAATCGACTTCATCTCAATCTCAAGGAAGTGGAGGCGCAGCCTACTGGACACAAAAGCAAGAAGAGGAGCAGACGTTGGCTCAGACCACTATCTCGTACAAGGGACAATCCAAATCAAATTAAAAGCTTTCAGGGAATCAGGAGCTGCAGATAGACCACAAGCCAAGTTCAACACTCAAAAGCTGAAGGACCAGGCTACAAAGGACATCTTCATTGCAAGCATAAAGGACAAAGCTGAGACACAAATCAACACTAGCGAAAAGGTCGGCGTTGAAAAGCACTGGAACAACTTGAAAACGGTGTGGAGCCAAACCTGCATAGAAATTCTAGGCAGAAAAAAGAGACAGGACAAACAGTGGCTCACTACGGACACTTGGAAACTAATAGAAGAGAGAAGGACAGTGAAGCAAAAGATTATCCAGTGCACTGACGAGCAACAAAAACAGGAGCTGAATGCAAGCTACAATACACTGAACAAAAGAGTGAAGAAAAGTGCCAGGGAAGACAAAAGAAAATATTATGAAACCATGGCAAACGAAGCAGAACAAGCTGCAGGCAAAGGAGACCTCGCCACACTCTACCAAACAACTAGGAACCTTTCGGGCAAACGTTCGACACAGATTAAGCCAATAAAGGACGACAATGGAAAGTCAATCACCAAAGAGGTGGAACAGAGAAAGCACTGGGTTGAACACTTCAAAAGACTTCTAAATCGTCCGCCACCTACAACACGTCCAGCAATACCAACAACGGAAGCAGAACTACCAGTGAACACTGACCCCCCGACGAAATCAGAAGTCCTGAATGCAATCAAGATGCTTAAAGCTGGGAAAACACCGGGACCAGATGGAATCCCAGCAGAGGCTTTGAAAATAGACCCAGAGACAACAGCGGACTTGATGACACCACTGCTGGAGAAGGTGTGGAAAGAGGGCAAAGTACCCGAGGATTGGAAGAAAAGTTACTTATTCAAACTTCCAAAGAAAGGAGACTTAAGTCAATGTAAAAACTGGCGTGGAATTATGCTTCTGTCCATTCCAAGCAAGATACTAAGTCGCATCATCCTGGAGAGAATCAAACAAGCCCTAGATGAAAAACTTCGTCCGGAACAGGCTGGATTCAGGAGAAACAAATCATGTATTGATCAAATCGCCACTCTACGGATCATCATTGAACAAAGCTTGGAATGGCAGTCACCTCTCTATCTCAACTTCATCGACTTTGAAAAGGCCTTCGACAGCGTCGATCGAGAGGTCATTTGGAAACTACTTCGCTACTACGGGGTCCCATCGACAATTATACACCTCATCCAACAGTTATACGACAATGCTGCATGCCAAGTAATCCACAACGGGAAACTTACGGAAGCCTTCGAAGTGAGGACGGGAGTGAGGCAAGGCTGTCTACTATCACCAATGATCTTCCTGATTGCAATTGATTGGATAATGCGACAGACAACGGCAACCAACGAGGGAACAGGCATAAAATGGACTGACACAAAAGACTTGGAGGATCTGGATTTCGCCGATGATATATGTCTGATTTCCCATAAACTGGAAGATATGCAAGTGAAAAGTAACAAGTTGGCAGAAGAAGCATCAAAGATAGGACTTCACGTGAACATAGATAAAACAGAGATGATGAAGATTCCTAGCCAACAGCAACAACAACAGCATAAATGGGAAGAACCTGAAAGAAACAACCTCCTTCACCTACCTGGGAAGCATCGTCTCAACTACAGGCGGAACTGACGAGGACATCAAAGCCAGAATCGGAAAAGCAAGACAAGCTTTCATTACTCTCAAATCTGTGTGGAGGTCAACAGCACTCAGCATCAAAAATAAGATCCGGATTTTCAACTCCAATGTGAAGTCAGTGCTACTATACGGATCAGAGACTTGGCGAGTCATAAAGAGCATCTCAAACAAACTTCAAACCTTCATTAACAACTGTCTCCGCTCAATACTCAAGATCAGATGGCCAGAAAAGATCAGCAACAGGGATCTCTGGGAGCGAACCAATCAGGAACCGATTGTGAAACAAATAGGCAGAAAGAAATGGAGATGGATTGGCCATACGCTGAGGAAACCATCAAGTGACATCACTAGACAAGCCCTCGAGTGGAACCCGAAAGGGAGGCGGCGAGTTGGTCGTCCAAGGGTGACTTGGAGGAGGTCATGTGAGGAGGAGATGAAAGCATGTGGACAGACCTGGAGCAGGGTGAAAAAGTTGTCAGAAAACCGAAGTCAATGGAGGTGCGCAGCTGAAGCCCTATGTTCCTCTAGGAATTAAAGGATACAATAATAATAATTCTAATTTTAAATATGGTGGATTCTAAGACAGTCTTGATTATCCCCGAGTGGATGATGTATTCTGATGCATGGTTTCAAAACTGAAATGAAA